TCTGTTAGTATCATAATCATCATAAAACAATCTCATCTATAATCTCTAATGCATGAATCATAATAATAATCATTTTCAACCCATAAAACAAACATTATTAGTTATGTTAAATAATAAAAATACCCAATAATAAAACAGTCTTGTCCTTCCTTTTAAAGCTTGATGCATGAAATGGAAGTAGTGTCTTTCAAAATAGCCAGTATAAAAAAAATTTGAAGTTATATGAATATACATGTGACAGTACTTTAACAATATTGAAGAACATGAAATTAGTCTATAAATTAATTGGGATGCTATTCATTTACCTAATAAACTCCCAAATAATGACTTGTTCATTCTAAGCACCTCTCAAAAGCCTTAGCTATTCTACTATCTAGACAAGGAAAATAAACAACTCTCTTTAATGATAACTCTATGTTATATATTGCCAATAGATATTTAACAACTCAAACTCCTTAAATTATTTAAGGTTACTCTTCAAACAACTCACTAGACACTTTCCCAATCTAAGCACATGACAAACTTTAAAAGAAAAAAAAAATATAACTTAACCGACTTTCATTGTGAAGGAAGCGACATTGAAATTAATCATCAATATATATATATATATATATATCACCATAACTAATCATTGGTCTTAAACATTATCAAACCTAAAAGAAAATCTATCCTTCTTCATTTTAGACATGTGTCAAGGTTCATTATTTTAATAACCCAAACTTTACATTAAAATGAAGATATATATATATATATATATATATTCAAGCAACATTTATACATTTCTAAGTTTTTAACATAGAAATTGAGCAACCTAAATCCAATTCCAGTCATTAATATAATAAACATGCTTAATCTCCATTTAAATCAAATTTCTCTTTTACGCATTTTACAAACATCCTATGTGAGTCATTGTTCAACTATAATACAAAACTCCTTCCTTTTCAATTCCAAATATTTCCATACCATAATATACATAAAACACACACATATACATAAACACACATTTTAACAAATACCTCATGGGCATCAATATTCAACTATATTATCAAGCTTCTTACTCTACCAATCTCTTACTCAGTAATTCTTAAACTTCTATATAAATTTTGTATGCCTCCCAAACTCATCATGTCTTCATAAAAAATCCATTCAAACAAAACTGAAAATTTTCCTACTCTTAAATTTAAACTTGTTACCACCTCAATCTTTCCCTTACACACACAGCAACTAATACAAGGGAGGAAAAAATTCAGCAACCTCCCAAGGCATAAAAAACACACACAAATCCAACATAAGGAAGAGGGAGGATAAAGCTTGAACTGACCAAGAAGCAAAGGAGGAATGGATAGAAAGATTTGAAGTTCCCTCCCTCACCAAAACAGTACCAACATAGACGCAGAAACAGAGGAAAGAGCAGAAGTTTTACAAGCTTCACATAACCCACAGTAGCTAACGACGGTGCACTCATATTCACAAGCAACAGATGATCAAAATGGAGGATGGAAGCTTCTCGATCCAGAGCTTCTCAAATGTATTCTCTCTACCTCTCTCTTGGTTACACTTGACGGTAATCACTATAAAAGAAAATGAATTTTGGCAATGATTTTTAGTGGCAGCAAATCAATGTTGCCATCAATTTAAAAGTCATCACCAAAAGTATCATTTGGGTGGCGACTTTTAATAGTTGCCACTAAAAGCAGACTTTTGACTATAACATTTCTCGCCACTAAAAATTTTCATAAAAATAATTAAAAAATTAAAAATAATTTGTATAAGTATTTTTGGTGACAACATTTGTCTCCACTAAAACTATTTTTTAAAAAATTAAATATAATTTTAAATGATATGAAATAATATATAAATTTCCATTTAAATTACTAAAAAATACTTATGAATTATTTTAAAAATTTAAAATTAAATAAAATCATTCAAAAGATATTTATGAAATTAAGTTTCTTATTTTATATACAAAATTAGAAATAAATGATATATAGGATTGTGAAACAAAAATAATAATAGTGAAGATGTGTTAAGTTTAACTATTAACTCATTTTTTAATTTTGTATTATTCATAATCTTTTTAGACATATATAGCTCATATTTTTTAAGAATTATGTTATTAATCTTGTATTTAATATGATAAATTAAAATCTTGATAAATTCTTATTATTTTCAATTATAATTAGGTTGAGTTATACATAAATTATTATTTATATATAAATTCATAAATGACATTGGGACATCAAAGTTGTACAGATGTTGTGAGATGCAACTGATATTATAGACTATTTGACATAATGAGCACTAGATGTTTGGCCTAATATGCAAATGGTGTTTACTTCTTCTATTGAACTTTAATGCCTCTTAGCCAATAATTTTATTTGATTCTACCTAATATATTTAGGTTTCCAATGATATAAAAAAGAAATTATTGATAAGATTTTTATAACTAATTATTTCTAAGAAGAATATGAAAAATTATTCAAATCCACCTTGCTATGAGATAGACAATGATTAGAGGTTAGCTAAACTGATCACATATGATATTCTTATAATTATCTTGTATTATAAAAGTTATTGGTATTCATTAAAAATTCAAATTATTTAAAACTATTAACAAAATTTATGTGGTTGACATGTCATAAAATAAATTATTATTTTAAAAAAAGAGTTTATGATGCCGCTAAAATTTTTAAATTATTATTTTTTAAAAAGGAGTATTTAACGTGGCCAAAAACTATTAACGACGAAAGTTATAACAATGACCTTTTAGTGGTGAAAAATCATCTTAAAAACATTTAGCAGTGACTTTTGGAGCTAAAAATCTTTTTTTCTATTTATAGTGTAATGGAGAAGAAAAAGGGAATCTGATGGGATTTTCTTTCTTTTTTTAATTATTTTCTTAAAAAGTAATGGCATTTCTTTAATTTTGCAGTGCTAAAAAATATAAAATCTCACTTTTGTCACTGCCTAAATTCAAACCGTGAACCCACAATGAGAAACCCAAAACAAACTACTAATTCACTTTATTATAACTGCCCAATAATTTTATAAAAAGAAAGTTAGATATTTAGAATAACAATTTATTATTGTATTTTATTTTTATTTTTTATGCAAATATGAACTGAGAGGTCTAATTATCCCTTTTTTAAAAATATTTATTGCATATTTAACAAAATTCTAAATTCTTGAGTCATTTTAGCAAACTTCTTGAACATGAGGATATCTTAGCCAGAGCGTCGGTGTAATAACCCTAAGAATTTTAGTCAAAATTATAATCTATAATAAAATATTTTAAGTTTATTTTATTAACTTATGAAACTCAGATTGGTAGTTAGTGAAAATATACCTCATCAAGCATTTTCAAGTTGTGTTTGTTAAATAAATATATAAATAAATAAAAGAAGAACATTTTCATGTGTGAGTTTGAATTTTAATATAATAACCCTAAATCTTAAATTAAACAAAATTTTCTTATTTTATTTTATATTTTAAAAGATTTGGATTTTTTTAAAAAAATTTTCTTGAGTCTTTCATATAATTTTCTTTGTGCTTCTCCTTACAATGTTTCTCAAACTCTGATCAGATCATATTTCTTCGCGTGAACGTTAAGAAAATAGAGCATCCCACTTCTTTCGAGCTCTCTTCTCTCATCACTGTCGAACCCATCCTCCTCACCTTCGAACTTGTTGTCCTTCTCGCCGGTGGCATGCGTCATTTCTTCCCTTCTTCTCATTTTCGATTTTTCTAGAACCAGTGAGAGAGAGAGAGAGAGAGAGAGAGAGACCTCCGTTACTCCTCTGTTCTTCCTTATCCTTTCCGTCCGTTTGCCAGTGACCGTGCGTGCTTTCATCGCTGCCGTTGATGGTCTAGCTCATGGGTTTTTCTCTTCCTCCTCTATGGTTCATCATTGATCCTTGCTCTTTCCTCTTCTCTTCGTGCTGCAGAGAGATTCAGATCCGCCTCTATTTTGTGTTTGTGCCATCGTCGTAGTGCGTCAAGCCTTCTATTCCTCCCTCCACGTTTCAACGCCACTGTGCTTCCATTTCTCCTCTATTTGTGAGCTGCGGTGGGTGGTTGCTGTCAATCCTCTTCTTTGTTGTTCACTGTTCTACATCGCGGGAGTCTCTTCTTCCCCTTCATTTCTTCTTTGCTTCTTGGTGAGTTCAACCTTCTTTCCCCCTCTTCCTTATGTCGATCTATATGTGTTTTGTGATCTTGGAAGTTGCTGAAAGTTTGTTTATTTTCTGTATCAATTGTTATATGTTTGTAAGGAAAATATTGATTTCTAAAAAGATTAAATTGAAGACTAGAAAGAGAGAATTTTAGTGTGATTTGAATGGATTTTGGATAAGTACACGTGTTTGGAAAGCATAATAAATTTCTAAATGTTTCAGAATTGTTGAACAAGAGATAGGAAGAGTAGAAGTTTGGTGCTATAGTTTGAATATTGATGTCCATGAGGTATTTGTCAAAATGTTAGAAGGGCTAGATTGGAGAGATCAAGCATGTTTTATTGTATGAAGGAGCTTTGTATCATAATTGAATATTGAGACACATAAAGTGTTTGCCAAAATGTGCAAAAGAGGAACCTGATGGGCATGGAGCAATTAAGTATATTTAGTATATGAATGACTAAAATTTGGGTTTAAATTGTTCAAGTTCTATGTTGAAAGCTATGAAAGGCATAAAGATGGTTTGAATAGATACACACACATGTATTTCTATTGTTGTAAAGGGCGTCCTAAATTAGGACTTAATCATCACACTGACCATGGTTAATCAAGAACTAACCCAAATAGATTATCCATTACGAGATTAAACTAAATGAATTTTTAATATGTATTTTTTTAACAAACTATTTAGTACAAAGGGATCCCAAGTCTTTAAAATATTTTAAAAACTCATATCATTTAATTAAACATATGCAGAAGCATGATAATAACTATTTTTACTTGCATAAATATTTTGGCCCGTAATTATAGCACAAGCATCAAACCACATTCCTCAGGGCCCAAAATACATTTTTCCCAACACAAAACCCATAATGCAAGTGGATCAAGAATATATTATCCTAGGTGGCAATATCATAAACTAAATACACATATCAAATAAAAGGAGAGAGGCCTACAGAAGTGATTATTATCACTTGGCCTAATGCTCCTTTCCTCTGTTCTTCTCAGATGAGCTAGCTCCTGTAATATGTTAAAAGAGAGGGGTGAGTACAACCACTCAGTAACCAAAGTATATCTAAGTTATACAAATGCATGATAATTAATCATAAAGGCAAGTGACCAATAAATTTATCAAGGTGACCATTCAAACAATCACATTAATAACATGTTAATCACATTAACATTTAACTCATGTGAATAATTTCAAGAATAAAGTCAAGTATAAAATTTGCACAAATAGCCACATATACATTATTCACATAATTACTACATGTTCTCATTTCTACAATTATAATCATATTCTCAACATAGCCATCAATCACTCAAATGGCATGATAATAATAATATGCATGATCAATCTCTTCTTATATCCCCTCTTATTTCCTCTGACATGAAATTCATGGGCCAACAACAGGAAAGGATCATCCATGTGGTGAGACTACCCAAAGCTTTAATCATATCATGAGGGGTTACCGGGTCAGGGTTATCTTACTCACTTATGAACATGGTTTCCCCCAAAAATGTTTAAAACACTTACCTAGTCTTAGAATACTTAAAATCTCATTTGAAGTATTCCATTATGAAGCATTACCTTCTAAATCAGCTCCTATCGCTGCAGCGTCGATCGTGTTCTCTCGCTTGCTCTCTGTTCGCACCAGATGCAGATGAAGAAAGAAGGAAGAGAAATAGATGAAATAAGGCAAAGTGTTTTTTTTTTAAACAAGCGTGGGTCCCACGGCCTTTATTCTCTTTCTTTTGTCTTCTTCAATTGCACACCCGTGAATTTTTCTTCCCTTTTCTCATTTCATTTTTTAATTTATTTAATATTCCTTCTTTCTTTTTCTTATTTTTTTATTATTATATATGTTATGATTGCATGGAGAGCGCCAAAAGCACAGCCACTTCTTCTTCTTCTTCTTCTCTCTCTTTTATACATTTTCTTTTCTTTTTTTAAATAATAATAATAATAATAATTTAATATTTTTAATTAATTAATTAATTATTTTTTTAAATTTTAATTTAGAATTATATCCTAATTAGATTTAACAATCATCTCCTACTAATTTGCTTACCTCTAAATTTTTTTTTTCAAAATTTCTATTAACCCAAATTAACTTTTAAAATTTAAATTGGGATGTTACAATTCTCCCATCCTAATAGGAATTTTGTCCCCAAAATTCGAATAATCATAGGGAACATACCTTACTCAAACAAATAAGGATAGGAATGTTTCATCTTCTCCTCGGTTTCTCAGGTTGCATTACCAGGGGCCATTCCTTTCCAGAATACCTTCACAAGGCGAATGGTTTTATTTCTCAATTGCTTTTCCTTTACATCCACAATTCTTTCTGGTTCCACTCGATAGGTCATGTTCTCCCTTAGCTCAACCTCTTCAGGTTCTATTATATGAGACGGATCAGGTTGATATTTCTTTAATTGAGAGACATGAAATACATCATGAACTCCTGACAAATGAGGTGGCAAGGCAATTCGATAGGCCAAAGTCCCAATTTTTTGTAGCATTTGAAAAGGACCTATGAATCTAGAAGTCAATTTCTTAGCTTTTATTGACCTCCCAATGCCTATCATTAGTGATACTTTCAAAAACACATGATCGCCTGCCTCAAAAGTCAAAGGTCTTCATCACCTATCTGCATAGCTCTTCTGCTGACTCTGAGCAGTTAACAATTTTTGTCGGATTGTCTCAATCTTTTAAGTGGTTTGGTCAACAATGTCTAGACCTATAATGCTTCTTTCATTCAACTCGGTCCAACAAAGTGGAGATCTACACTTTCTACCATATAACACCTCATATAGAGCCATATGAATACTTGAATGATAACTGTCATTGTAGGCAAATTCTACTAACAGTAGATGCTTGTCCCAACTACCTATCCACTCAAGTGCACATGCATGTAAAATATCTTCAAGTGTTTGATTGGTTCTTTCAGTTTGACCATCAGTCTGTGGATGATATGCTGTACTAAACTTCAATTGAGTACCCATAGCATCATTCATCGCCTTCCAAAAGTTTGAGGTGAACCTTGGATCACGATCTGAAACCATATCTTTAGGCATTCCATGTAATCACACAATCTCTTGGATATACAGTTCCACAAATTTATCCATAGTATAACCTTCTCTGATAGGTAGAAAATAGGCTAACTTCGTCAATCTATCAATAATAACCCATATTGCATCGTACCCTGCCTGTGTTTTAGGTAAACCCATAATAAAGTCCATGGAAATACTTTCCCACTTTCAAGTTTGAATTTCCAACGGCTGTAATAAACCACCAGGCCTCTGATGCTCTATTTTTACCCTCTGACAAGTTAGACACTTGTTCACATACTTCGTCACATCACGCTTCAGACCATACCACCACCAGTACTGCTTCATGTCTTGATACATCTTGGTTGCTCCGGGGTGGATGGTGAATTTGCTTCTATGAGCTTCAGCAAGAATTGTGTCCTTCAACACTTTCACATCAGGAACACAAACCCTTCCTTTGTAGACTACAAGACCATTATCATTAAAAGTGAAATTTGTGCCAATCATCTTCTCATCTAAGTTCTTTCGAACTTCTAACAAGTATGGGTCTTCAAACTGAGTTGCTCGCAACTTATCCCAAAATTCGATTATAAGCACCGTAGTATTCAAATTGAACATAGCATAATCTAGGATATTTTATGGAAAACTAGAAAAATCTTCCAATAACTTCTGTTTATGAATCATCATATAAGCCACAGGTACAGTCTTTCTGCTCAAGGCATCAGCCACTACATTGGCCTTCCCTGGATGGTACTTCAGTTCAAACTCATAGTCTTTTAAGAATTCCATCCATCTTTTTTGCCTCATATTCAGCTCCTTCTGGTCTACCAAATATTTAAGACTTTTATGATCGCTAAACATTTCAAATCGTGCACCATAGAGGTAATGTCTCCAAATCTTAAGAGCGAAGACAACAACTGCTAGCTCTAGATTGTGAGTAAGGTAGTTCATTTTGTGAGGCCTCAATTGTCTTAATACATATGCTACAACTTTGCCATCTTGCATGAGAAAACATCCAAGACCCTTAAGCGATGCATCTGTATAAACATCAAATGATTGCTTAGGATCAGGGATAGTTAAGACTGGTGCAGTCGTCAACTTCTTTCTCAAGGTGATAAAAGCCTCTTCACACTCTTTGGTCCACAAAAAAGGTTTGTCTTTCTTAGTCAATTTAGTCAACGCCGATGCTATTTGAGAAAACCCTTCAATAAACCTCCTGTAATAGTCGGCCAACCCCAAGAAACTTTTGATTTCTGATACTGAGGTCGGTCGTTCCCATTTCAACATCGCATCAACCTTGTGAGGATCAACTGCAATACCTTCCTCAGAAACAACATGTCCTAAAAACTTCACTTCATTCAGCCAAAACTCACATTTACTCAACTTGGCATAAAGTTGTCTCCCTTTCAAAATCTATAGCACTAATCTCAAATGCTCTTCATGCTCTGTATCACTCTTGGAGTAGATCAAAATATCATCAATAAAGACAACAACAAACTTATCTAGGTAGGGCCTGAAGATTCTATTCATATAGTCCATGAATATCGCCGACGCATTTGTTAGCCCAAATGGCATAACTAGGAATTCATAATGCCCATACCTTGTTTTAAAAGCCGTCTTAGGTACATCCTCTACCTTTACCCTCAACTGATGATACCCAGACCTCAAGTCAATTTTTGAGAATACCACCGCTCCAGCCAACTGATCTAAGAGATCATCAATCTGTGGCAACGGCTATTTGTTTTTGATTGTCACCTTGTTAAGCTGGCGGTAGTCGATACACAATCGCATACTCCCATCTTTCTTTTTCACAAAGAGAATTGGTGCTCCCCATGGTGATACACTTGGTCTTATAAAGCCCTTAGTTAATAAGTCTTCTAGTTGCTTCTTTAACTCTTCTAATTCTGTAGGGGCCATTCGATACGGAGCCTTTAAAATTGGCTCGGTACCTGGAGCTAAATCAATTGAGAATTCAACTTCTCTTTTTGGTGGCAAACCATTCACATCTTCTGCAAAAACCTTGGGAAATTCTTTCACTACTTTTATCTGATCAATCTTTTGTTCTTTGTCTCCTTGTACTGAACAGAACACCATGAACATTTGGCATCCTTCTTGATCTGACTTCTTGACTTCTATAGCAGACAAGAACTTAGGCATTTCTATGTCTACCATAATGGTACGCACAGTCATTTTAGGGACTGTAGAAATGGTAGTATCTACTGGCAATAGGATTGTCTTCTTGTTACAATCTAAAGTCGCTTCATTAGCCGACAGCCAGTCCATTCCCACAATCACATCAATGCCCAACAAAGGCAAACAAATTAAGTCAATAATTGTAACCCTATCACCAAACTTCAAGTTGACATTAGAGCACACACGACTAGTCTTAGCAGAGGCCCCAGTCGGCATAGAAACATTCATAACAACATCTATTTCATACGCAAACATTTTAAGTCTAGTTATACAATCTAGTGCAACGAAAGAATGCGTAGCACCTGAATCAAATAATGCTTTTACTTGTTTGTCATTAAGGACAATCATACCTTTGATTAATTTTGGAGAAGCTTCTGCTTCCTTTTTAGACATCGCGAAGACACGAGCAGGAATAATAGATCTCCCATCAGTCACAGCCTCTGGGCAATTACGGGCGATATGACCCATCTTGTTACATTTATAGCATGCCCAACAATCTCCGATGTGGAATCTTCTACATTTATCACAATATGGTCGTACTACTGGTGGTCCCATGACAGATGGAGTTGAGTCTTACCTTGAAGCTTGGCTTCGGCCTCCAAAGCTCTTGAAATGGAAGCTCTTAGTTTGGGATCCTCTAGATTGTGGTCCCTTAGAGAAATTCTTCTTACTACTTCCTCCACCTCTACTGTAACCCTTAGAGAATCCCGAGCTATAATTTGACTTCTTACTCATACCCCAGTGGGGCCCATAAAAGAGGAATATCGGCCTTGGCCATCTCGCCGGTTACCGTCATTCATCTGGCTTCTTCTAGCAACAGCCTTGAACTTGTTACACATGACTTCAAATGAATCAATATCATGAGCTGCCAGTTGTCTGCTATACTCAGGTCTCATCTTGTCTAGGAACTGCTCACACTTTCATTCTTCATCAGTATTACTCCTCAAGTACAAGGAATATTTAGAGAGCTCATTAAATTTGGCTATAAACTCTTCAACATCCATATTGCCTTGTCTTAAGTTATGGAACTCAACTTCTTTTGCTGCCCTTACAGTTGGCGGAAAGTAGTGGGCAAAGAACCTATTCTTAAATTGCTCCCAAGTCAATTCAGATCCATCAATAGGGTTAACACTTTCCCACCATTGTTTTGCCGTATCTTTAAGCTTGAAAGTAGCCAATCGGACCCGTTGTTCAGTAGTGCAAGTCATCACAGAGAAAATGGACTCTAATTCATCAATCCATTTCTCACCAGCTCGGTCTACCATAGAACCCTCAAATGATGGTGGGCTCAATCTTGTAAATCTCTTGAATGCATGGTCAATGGTAACCTCTTCTACTTTCTCTTTGCCTTTATTTTTCCTTTTCCTCTGCCTCACAGAGTTACTTTGTTCAAAATCCTTAAAGGACTCTTCTTC